CCATTTGGCGACCATCAGAGACGATGGTTCAAACAGAGGTCGCGATTCAGTCACCAAAAACCACTTCCAGTTTTACCCGTTTCGCGGATACAAATAATGTTTGGACTGATGGCCGGACTAACCCTTGTCTTTGATTGGGGCAACATTTGGGACCACTTTATCCCCGACTCTATCACTGAACCCATTGAAGAGAAACGCAAACAATTGGGACGAGTTATCAAAAAGATCTGTGGCGTCAAACGAGTGGATGCGCTGACAATACAGCCCACTATATCGGCGGCCATCGCTGAGGCCGAGACGAGCCCTTCTTCGGGCAACTCTGATACTAAAGGTGAGCACAAATCGCACAAAAAGAATCGCTTTCGGGACCGAAAGATCATTGAATACGAGAATCGGATCCGTTTGTATTCAAATCCCGATAAAGTGTTCCGATATTTCGCGTCATTGAAGATAATATACGAACAAAACGAGTCCGAGATATACATGACTCCCGACGACTTCCTGCGGGCGCTCACGCCTGGCATCAAACAACCCGATGGACTCGGTTTAGACCGCTTCCGACGCATTGACTTATCAAAGGTTTCCTTTCGTTCATTCATTAAAACATTATGTATTGATTGAAAGCAAAACACAAAACATATTTCTCTAAAACATTTTTTTAGTCTTAAATATATTATAGATTACAAGAGAGGGAGGATTTAAATCGGAAAATCAAAGTCTAAATTAATTTTTATAAAATATGTATCAATGATTATATTTGTATTCATTTCCCGTACGGAATATGTTATATGAAATACAAATACTGTTATGTATTGTAATAATCAATGTTTGGTATTTCACAGGAAGAGGACTCAGATCTAAGTGCTATGCTTTCAGACGTGTTGCTAATTGTGAGCATATTATCCGCTTTTATATTGTCTATTCATTTGTTGTATTAGTTTTAGTTGTTTTACATTCAATTGATTTGCATTTGTTTTGTTGGTTTCGTAACTGAAAACTTTTTAGTGAAAAAATAATTTAAACATTATTTTATTTAACGCTTGGAATGGTTTTTGTGTGAATTTCCCAAACCATTAGTTTTTTGGATCACTATTTTGTGTTTGCCTTATATTCCCATTTTTAGACGAGAAAAACTTCTTCTTTTCTTTGATTTAATTATTTTTAATCTCATTTCTAACCTCTTTTATCCCATTAGTTATGTTATGTTTTTAGTTATGTTTTGTTTGGTTTTATTATCGATTTTGCATTATTATTCGTCACCTCTTTTTTTACCTCAAATTTATGCAAAATTGCTTTTTTAGGGAAACAAAGACTTAGCCTATGGTTTGAAACCGGAGTCTATTTTTTACAAACTTAGCAATTATGGACTCATTAATTACTCGGACTTTCTATTCCTTCTGACTGTCATTTCGGGTCAGTTTTTACTTCTGAAATAAAGCATTCAAATGACCATTTGGTAGAAAACGTGAGATTTAATTGTCTTGTTTTGTGTGCACCGAAACGGACGGACAGTGTCTAAGCGTCACTTCGAGATAGCGTTTCGTATGTTTGATCTGAACGGCGACGGGAATGTCGAATACGACGAGTTTGAAAAAGTCCAGAACGCTATCCTCGCCCAGACATGTATTGGCAAAAAGTTGGGCTCAACTCATAGAACAGGATATAAGGGTCAGCACATGATCTTTACAATAAACCACTAAATCATTTGTCAAATATCTGTTACCAATTTAAATGAATTTTCATATCTAACGCAATCATTCGAGCCATTCGTTAGGGAAGGGTAGCGATAATTGAGACGAAAATTATATAAATGTAATGATTATTTTGTGTTTAAAATAATTATTGTGTTTTTTCGGTGAATTATTGCAAATGATTTTTCTTTAGAAACTCATTCATTCAGTCAGTCATTGTTTGTGCGAAATTCATGTCCTTTTTAACCATTGCTTCAATTGTTTGAAATCATACGAAAGCCTCTATTAAACTAATACAATACGTTGTGTGCCATTAGGTGTGAGCTCTGCGCTCGCGAAATANGTCAGTCATTGTTTGTGCGAAATTCATGTCCTTTTTAACCATTGCTTCAATTGTTTGAAATCATACGAAAGCCTCTATTAAACTAATACAATACGTTGTGTGCCATTAGGTGTGAGCTCTGCGCTCGCGAAATACTTTTTTGGCGAAGATCTCAAACAAAAGCTAACGATTGAGAAGTTTCTTGATTTTCAACAACTTTTACAAACAGAGCTCTTGACTCTTGAGGTATTCATTGAGTTTGAATGCAAACTTAGGCTTTATATTCAATGCATTAATCGTTTCGTTAATTTCAATGTGAATGAAAGTTTGAGCGCAAAAAACCGAATCCAATAACCGGTAGAATAAAAGAATCAGAATTTGCGGAACTATTGATAGCATACGCGGGACTCACAGAGAAGCGGAAGAATAAAATGCTTCAAAGAGTGAAGAAAAGGTTTGGCAAAGACGAGGACGGCCTCAGCGAAGAGGGCATCACTCTTGATGACTATCTCAGTCTTTATAGTTTCCTACAAAACATCAATGATGTGGATATATATTGTTTGTGCGAAATTCATGTCCTTTTTAACCATTGCTTCAATTGTTTGAAATCATACGAAAGCCTCTATTAAACTAATACAATACGTTGTGTGCCATTAGGTGTGAGCTCTGCGCTCGCGAAATATTTTTTTGGCGAAGATCTCAAACAAAAGCTTACGATTGAAAAGTTTCTTGATTTTCAACAACTTTTACAAACAGAGCTCTTGACTCTTGAGGTATTCATTCAGTTTGAATGCAAACTTAGACTTTATATTCAATGCATTAATCGTTTCGTTAATTTCAATGTGAATGAAAGTTTGAGCGCAAAAAACCGAATCCAATAACCGGTAGAATAAAAGAATCGGAATTTGCGGAACTATTGATAGCATACGCGGGACTCACAGAGAAGCGGAAGAGTAAAATGCTTCAAAGAGTGAAGAAAAGGTTTGGCAAAGACGAGGACGGCCTCAGCGAAGAGGGCATCACTCTTGATGACTATCTCAGTCTTTATAGTTTCCTACAAAACATCAATGATGTGGATATAGCGCTGGCCGTGTTTAACATTGCCGGCGCCTCAATAGATCAGGGTTTGTATGAATTACTATTGATTGGCATTAATAGAGCAAAGAATCGCTAAATATTTTAAGTTTTTTATATTTGATTGACAGCTACTCTGAAACATGTGGCCAAAACTGTAGTACACGTTCACCTCAGAGACCATTTGGTCGAAGTTCTGTTTACCCTATTTGATGAAAATCGTGAGTTAAATATAGTGGTTATAAAAATGAGTGGAAAATTAAGACAATTATTGTAAACATTGCAGAAGACGGACAGTTAAGTAACAGAGAATTCATTGCTGTAATGAAGGAGAGATTACGTCGAGGCCTAACGAAGCCGAAAGACACCGGTTTTTTCAAACTACTTCACGCCATTTGGAATTCACTTAAATTTGATTTATAAAACACTCGATTGATTCACTAATTCAATGATTACTTACAATAAAAGATAATTAAAAACAATTTATTTAGTGTCGAAAATGAGTCCAAAATCTAATAAATGCATGAATAAAGGCGCTGTCATTGAGTATATGATCCAAAACTGTGTTTTTGTTTCCCGGAATAGAAGACTAGTCGTAACCCAATGACAGAAATGAAAGACAAGTTTGAGATGTTTTGTTGTTTTTGGAGGTCATTAACATCGAGACATCGAAATAACAACTTTTGACTAATGATAACAACATCTAAAACACAACTAAACATAAATAAAAGCAAGTTTTCAGTTGTATTGAAGACGATAGGTATGCCTTCGCTTATAGCCGACTCTGAATTATGACCTTTTGTTTAATCTCATGGTCTGCAGTGCAGAACCAATCATTTGATTCTAGTTCTTGTAATTCCAATAACTTTTTTCAATACAAGTCCTTCCGTTGCATAACATCTCTAACTATCGTTCAATATGTTTGTCGATAAATATTATTTAATCAACGCTTCTATCGTTTTGAACGCATTTCTCCTTTCATTTGCTTTAAGTGTTGAATACGAAAATAAAACCGATTTTTATAACAGCCATCAGAGAGTAATTCACAACTTATCCAGAGATACGAGTAGTGAGGATAATGTGTTTGATGTGAACGAGAATAAACTCAATGAAACTATTCAACAAACTTTAAGAAAAGTTTTATTGAACAACACTTTGAATCTGAATGAGACGAACGCATCGATCGTTTTGAGGCAATTGTTGCGAGAAATCACTGAACAGGAGTCAAATGTGACGGCAAGTGAATCACGGACTCTGAGTTCGTGGTTAGGCTTAGACTTGAATCGCTTCCGAAGACCGCAATTCAGGTTAAGGCCATTCTTCTCTCCACCACAACCTCCACAACATCCGCAACAATCACAGAATATTCATCCATATGTAGCGCATCCGCCGCCACCACATCCACCGCCGCCGCCACAAGTGTTCTCTGGACCAGTGGTGAGCCGTCCCAATAGTTTTCCCGGTCCTCACGATCCCGACTCCCTTATGCTTCCGCCGTCTCTTTTCGACGAAAGTGGTATAAAATATTGGCTTAAATTCATTGAAAACGCGGGCAAAGATGAGAACAATTATAACGATGAATACGACTCGAGACCGCAGTTCACTCATGAGGACAGTCGCATGAGAAGACCCGTACGGACTAAATATGTCCACTCGTCGCGACCAAAGCCTATAGATATCGGCGATAAACCCAATAATAATGAGGAGAACGACGATATGCCCGAAGAAAGTGACGAAAATGAAAATGACGACAACGACGACGATATGGAAGAGCCGACGGATGAGCCCAAGTCTTCGGGCAGTTCTTCCTCTCAGACTAAAGAGAAATACGATACGACTCCGAGATGTGATAAGTTTACGTCCGATATATGTGTCGACGACTTTGAATACCCGGAACAGGCGATTGTCGACGAGATATACAAAAGAAAGGATATTTTTGAGCTCATGTACTCTGAGGTGAGAGATAACGTTCCGCTCGTCGACGGTATTCCTCGCGATGTCGAGGAGTCTTATAATTACGACTACGACAGCGACGACGACGACAAAGACCCGCACGCGTCGAGCACTGGGTTTGGGAACACACAGACCAGGGGTAAGCAATCGGGTGGACGCGGGTTCGTGTGTCCGACGGAAGTGATGTACGGAAAGCCAAAACTGGCCAAAAACAAAAGGGGCGACTGGAAAGTGATCGTCAATGCGGCCGAATTCACGCAAACCGTTCGCATGGAAAAGTGCAATAAACCCAACAGTCAATGCAATTACATCTCGTACCCCGACTTCAGCTCCCGGTGCGCTCAGGTTCACTCTTACCACAGGCTTCTGGTCTTTGAAAAGGGCAAAGGCTTTTATATCGACACTTTCCGGATGCCGACGGCCTGCACGTGTCACGTGACCCGAAAGGTGTCCTACAAACCATTGCCCAGCGCTTCCCAATCGAGCACTTATAACAGGAAACAAAAGCCTTCGCCTCAGTTAAGCAACACATTGTGGTCTATATTAGGCGGTCCGCTACCCAACGACCCATCCTCTGCCACTTTGACTCAATCCCAAGAATTACTGAGAAATCAAATTAATTTATTAAACCAAATGAAACATTTGCCACAATTAGCGCACATTTCACCCGACAATGTCTTCCAACAGCTCATGGATTTTCCCTCGAGTTCGGAAGGACTATCGGATCACCAAAAACCATATCAAAGATACCAAAAGCCGAGTGCAATGCAATTCGGACAGACCAGTGGTATTGACTACATTCTGCCCGCCATTGTCAACAACAATGAAGATCACAGTAATACTGACCGCAAGTCTCAAATGCCCCGACCGTTGGCGCAAATACACCAGAGCTCCGGCACCACAACATTGCTGAACCCTAACGTGAACGGAGCGCCTGTGGTTCAGGTGATTCACGTTCCCGTCACGTCCAGTGTGGCCGCCAATCCAGACCCGGCGCCCGTATATAAGGGCAAACCCAACCACTCGTACAACGATTACAGTTATATAGACACGAGTTCTCTCTTTTATAAACCAAAACAGAATTCCGACGAATTTTTGCAGACATTTGGCGACGACTTGTCGGACATAAGTGTCGATCACTTTAAGCCACTAATGATGGGAATGTCGTCGAAGACGAACTCCAGTCTCATATCACCCAATGCTGCGAAAGAGTACATTAAACGAGAGTCCGATTATCCAAACAGTGAATCCGAAGACTTGAATAAAAAACGAAAATTAATGGTTGAAAACACTTTGAATAAGAAAATCAATTTCTCATATCATCCTATTTTAGAGTACATAAGCCGTTAGTCTTAGAGTACTGTTTGTTCCCATTTTATTGTTTGTCTCATAAGTTATTAATAAAATATATCAATAGTTTATATTAACTTTTTTATAGTTTATTATTATTTATAAAACTTATAAAACATTGTGAAAAACACAATAAAAGTTGCTATTAATGTAATTGAGTTTGAATTGAGTCCTATCTTTCACGCACTGATTACTCGATTAGAAACAAATCTAAACCTCCAATGAGTTGAACGAATGTCAACACAAAAGTCACTTCTTTTATAGGATTAATTGAATGGGAATTTGCTTTCAATTCAGACCCGATCTCAGCGTTTGCTTCAATTGTCAACGGTTTCAGTGTTGAGAAGAATGACATCTAATAATACCTTTAATGATATGTCAATATTTTCATTACTTTTGTTATGTCTCTTCGTTTACGGCATCTCTGGTCACAACAGAATTACAGACATCGATGTGTTGGACAACTATTTCGACGACGCGACCAAATTCATGAATAATCGGCCCATTTTTGACGGTGTCGCTCTTGTCCTGCCCAAGAAGTCACACCACAAACTGATCCCTGTCTCGCATAAGGAGAGACCCGCAGCGCAGCCTTTATTTCATTCAAAAATCATTTCACAGAATCGCCAAAAACTTGATAATTATCCCAAAAGTAAGTTTAAAAATCATTCCAATGAAAGACATGTCAAGAATCGGCTAAAGGATCAGTCGAAGAATAGCCGCCATAGAAATAATTATTACCCGAAGAGTATTAACGATCGATTGAAACAATACTCACTCGAGAACGAAGAAGAAGATAGTGATGAACATAAGGATCACGAGTTGCCAAATAAAAGGATACGACAACACAATTATATCCAATCCAACAACAATTATAACAACAATTTTAGACAAAATTCTGTGCGTCCGAGAGATAGACCCCAAGAATATCGGAATATAAATCATAAAAAATATCCGCAAAACTATCAACAGAAACACCAAAAACATGAACAAAATCGGCCGCAAGACTCTCAACAGACTCCAAGACCTCATTCAATACGTGACAATCAGCGCAATAAAGACAATGAATCGCCACAAATGAAGACAACAGAAACTCCAGATATTCCTCAAAGACCACTGACTCTATTCGATGCAATGCCTCCGCATTCAAAGGGAGGTTTGGATTTTATGAAACAAAATACTCATTCAAACAAAATTAAAAGTTTATCTAAAGATGTTATGAATCATGAATTTGATAACAAACAGTGGGAAAGACCTAAAGCTTACAGAACAGCCTCTGGTAACCAACTCTCCCATAAGAATAACGAAAGACATCCCAAAGAGCAGGACATGTATTCTGAAGAAGAAGAGAAGCCCAAAGAACCGGAAGAAAATTACAGAAACCATGAAAAACAACCGAAAGAGAAACAAAAAGATAGTGAACCACAACAACAGCCTTTGAACACAGAAAATGAAGACAACAAAAAGATTCAATACGTTGAGGGCGAAGACCTCGAGTCCAACGACGACCCCAACCATTATCCACACCAATACGCCATTGAAATTCGGTGGAAAAACAACGATATGTTGAACGGACCCGAAGGCGATGTCGGGGAGAGGGAAATGCATTCGAGCAAAGACTATGAGGACGCGAAGTATCGTCTCTACAAACACGAGGAAGAGGAGCATTGGCACGAGAAGAAGTGGCTCAATGAGGGCCTCAAGAAAGCCTACGCCAATGGACATCACCTTCCCGTACACATACATAGACCGCGATTAAAACTGGATAACGATCACTACAATCCGCTGCCGATCTACGCCCAGGCATTGCCTAACGGCGCGACTCTCCAGCAAATTAACCAACATTTTGGTGTTCCGACGCCTAATTTCCGGGTAAACAACCGATTCATGCAATGGGCGAAGAATGCCATTGATTTCAGTGTCCCTCAAACCGGCATTATTGCTGTCTTGGGATAAGTATATTACTATCAATT